ATCTTTGACTTGTGAATTCCACCAACCTTTGAAGACTTATAGAACTATCTATTTAAACCTTGAGAGTTTTTTTTTCCGTCCAATCGTTGAAGAATTTGCTATCAGTACCTAATATCAATATTCGTTTAAAACATTTTTGGCTTCTTTTTGCGAAGGCGATAGTTTGCAAAGACTCCGAGTTTTGGTTTCTTGTTTCAGTACGTTGATTCAGTTTTATTTTATATCCTATAGCTGTCCGAATACATGTTTGTTCTTCGACCTTTCACTTCATTCAAAACAATTTTAAGAACATTTTGTGTTCTATATATAGGCTACAGTAAGACTTTTTTAAAATGTGTTTATTACATTAACAAACGACGTTTCAGAGATTTAGTCCATCTATAATAATATGATAAACATGTAATAAACACATTTAAAAAAAGTCTTTATACTGTGGTCTATAAATTGAACACAAAATATACTATAGAAAGTCATAGAAAGTTCGTTCCTAAACGTTTTGAAGAATTTTAAGAATTTTAGAACATTTTCTCGCAAGATTTGATTGGCTAATCAAGGCCAATCAAGGCGAGCGAACAATATTTTTCGACTTTCGGCGCCTTGTTGTCTGTTCATATGTAGCTATATTTGTTTGGCGTCGAAGGGAACTCATTTGATGAAAGTTTTATTGCTTGTATTTGGGTTATATAACAAAGAAAAAAGCCAGAAAACTTAACGTCTAAACACTGACACTGGTCTGCGTAAAATATGGCAAAGCCATGGCATTATTTAATGGGCAAGTGAGTCAAAATGAGCTCGGTGAACGTCAAGAGCAAGAGACTAGTCATATAAAGTAAGTTTCCATGTTTAATATTTTTAATAGTGTCAAGAAAGGGACTTCTAAACGGTATTTGTCCTTTTTTATCACAATGGTAATCCCTTTTATCTTAAATACACATTGTTTTGTCTTCAAACTTCGAGTTTATCCGCCCTATAGCGGATTTAAACTACCAAACCTCGGATAAATGTATCCAACGGTAGTGCATTTTTATCCGTTGGATAGCGCTATCCCGTACAACGCGATTTTCACTCCGAATAAAATTTATCCGTTGGATAGCGACTCGTCCACCAGATAGCAATTTATCCATCTTTCGTACAACCGGCCCGGCTGAAAAATAAACAAGAAAACACGGTGAAAGTCCGCAAAACCGCCGCGAAAGTCAGAGAAGCCAAGGCAGTTTTCTGTGAGATGTCTACGCCAAACCAAAGTGTGGCTGTTTGGCAATTGTATATTAGTGTTTCTCCGTGTAATGAGTGCCACTTCTTCCTCGAGAAATCTTCCCACGCAAAACACATTCTCTTTCCGCCAAAAAACGAAAGCGTTAGCGTTTGAAGAGTTTAAATATATTGTCAGAAAACAATCACAGGGAAAATAGCGATAGAAAATCCAAGGTAAGCATTGCTTTTCATTGTTGTTTTTAAACTGAAAAATGTTGCTCATTCCTATACAATTAGCAACTTTTAGCATAGTTAACTTTAACTACTTTTCAACTGCAGAATGCCACAATATTCAATTTTGACGCTACCTTCCACGTTTCGCTCATTCTCTTCTTATCATAGCCAAGAATATCTTTACGTTGTTCTGGTTTCGTTGGGAAAAACATACCCTTTGCAAATGCATATGGATTATGTATCTACGAAAGATATACATAATTGTTTAGAAACATTCTTTGATTGCATCTTGTATGGTGATAGATATACAATGTTTTTCAGGATTTTGGCCCTTAACATTAAAGAGATGATCGTTACTGGACCTCTATAGGAAGAACAGTTTAGAACTGATAGAGCTATCCAGTATAAATAAAGTTAGTTTAGTTTAGGTTTCCTCCTGTAGTAACACTGGATCAATACAGATTATCCTTACTGAATCTCTAGGAAAAACAGTTTAGAACTGATAGAGCTATCCAGTATAAATAAATAAATAAATAAATAAATAAAGTCAGTTTAGTTTAGATTTCCTTCTGTAGTAACACTGGATCATTAAGAGATGATCCTTACTGAATACTGGACCTCTAGGAAGAACAGTTTAGAACTGATAGAGCTATCCATTATAAATAAAGTTAGTTTATGCTTAGGTTTCCTCCTGTAGTAACACTGGATCAATAAGAGATGATCCTTATTGGACCTCTATGGAGAACAGTTTAGAACTGACAAAGTCAAATGAATTACCAAATATAAATCCAAATATTTAATTTGCAAATTTTTCAAAGTTGTTTGACAGGCTGCCAAGACATCCTCTCTTGCATGGCTGTTATACACCTACAATAAATGGAAATGTTTCTTAATCTTTCTCAAGAATCTCAACATTATATTATTGCTTTTGTATATATAACCCATTGAGCGACAGCGCTCTCCCCTTAATTGACAAGTAAGCTCATCTAGCATAATAGGGCGTAAAAAAATACCTGTGGTTACGGTTTCATATCGTGAAAAAATTAGGGTCGGTAGGTCCGAAATAAATTTTTTTTTTGAATATTTTTTTCATGGTTTTGGTGGTTTTTTGCTGGGCGATTTGCAGTAGAGTCCCGACATCAATATTAACTAGAGATGCGTATTTCCTATGGATGAATTTAGGCAATTTGGTTCAATAATTAGTATGACAACAGACGCCATTTTGGCACGCTGTATGAGCAGCCCGCAACCACCTGGAGAAAATAGGGTCGCACGGTCAATCGCGTTGAAAAAATAATAGGGTCGGCAGAAAAAAATAGGGTCGGTCGGGAACCACAGGTATTTTCTTTTACGCCTAGGTCGTCTTGACAAGTGGCAAATTTTTTATATTTTGCTAATTGTTAGTTTTTCTTCCAAGTAAAATAATGCAGGAAAAAAATTGTGGGTCACATGCTTCTTTTCTAACTATACAAGGTGATAGGCTATTTTGGAGGACATTTCGTACACATATACATTTCGTACATAGCAACAAATTATCTATCATTAAAACTAATCTAATTTGAAAGTAGACAAATCAAAATACCGTATATAAAAAACCCAATATCTGCTGAATAAATCCTAAAAATGCATAATTTTAACATGTCAAATTGTTGAACACCTGAATTTTTAAAAAGTGTATCAAACCACCTTAAGAACATTTAGAATGAATATAGCTCAGCAAAAACTAACATACATGTATTTCATACCATAATTTTGAGGAAATAAATATGTCTTCCCGCTTCATACCAACTTCCTTCAAGACCTCGGTAAGAGCTTGCCCGATCTCCGCTTCGTTACCATAGCAATGAGCACAGTCAATGTGTTTGTACCCGGCTCTGATCGCTGCTTTGACAGCCTTGCCAACCTCGCCTGGCTTTGATTTCCATGTTCTGCATGAGATTAAGTGATTTAGGGCGTGTTAATACAGAGGCATTTTACTTAGCTGAGTTACTATGAACTAAACTAACTTAAGTGTATTCATAGTGAACAGCTTGAGATCTATCAGTTCTAAACTGTTCTTCCTAAAGGTCCAGTAAGGATCTCTTGTTGATCCAGTGTTACTACGTATACAGAAGGAAACCTAAACTAAACTAACTTTATTTATACTGGATAGCTCTGTCAGTTCAAAACTGTTCTCCCTAGAGGTTCATTAAGGATCATCTCTTATTAATCCAGTATTACTATAGGAGGAAACCTAAACTAAACTAACATTATTTATACTGGATAGCTCTGTCATTTCAAAACTGTTCTCCCTAGAGGTCCAGTAAGGATCATCTCTTATTAATCCAGTGTTACTACAGGAGGAAACATAAACTAAACTAACTTTATTTATACTGGATAGCTCTGAAACTGTTCTTGCTAGAGGTCCAGTAAGGATCATCTCTTATTAATCCAGTATTACTACAGGAGGAAACCTAAACTAAACTAACTTTATTTATACTGGATAGCTCTATCAGTTCTAAACTGTTCTTCCTAGAGTTCCAGTAAGGATCATCTCTTATTGATCCAGTGTTACTACAGGAGGAAACCTAAACTAAACTAACTTTATTTATACTGGAAGCTCTATCAGTTCTAAACTGTTCTTCCTAGAGGTCCAGTAAGGATCATCTCTTATTGATCCAGTGTAGGAAACATTCTAATTATCCTGTCAGCAACATTCCTTATGTGTAAAGGTGTTAACAAATGTAAATTGTTTTGTATAACATTTGCAATGCAGTGTATCATGACAGCATACACTGCACAATATACAATTCTATAATCCCCAGGCCAATTGAAGGTATTACTGCTCCGGTGTTAAGTTTAAATGAGCGAACCTTTTGAAAGAAAGCAAGATATCATATATAAATTGCGCGCAAAAGGCACAGTACTACAGTATAGGTATATTACTATATTATACAGCAGATAACAGACTGGCTGACCCGCCACATATAAAAAATATCGGTCACTTGAATTCGATGTGGAAACGTTAAAACCGCGTAAATATCTACTCTATTCAGAGATTTGACTGTAAATTGACTTACCAAATCCATAGTTATTTGGTTGGAGAAATTGCTCGAAAATCCTGCAGTGTTTACAAATCGAAAGTTGCGAAAACTAAAAGAACGAAGGATTATATAACTGCAGTATATTTGCCATTGGGATCAATAAGGATTAACATGATGCCCGATTAACCGATGACCTTCTTTGCGGAGACTGGACTATGAATTGGACTGCGTAGCGGCTCTCGGGCTAAAAAAGTATACCTTTTGAAATCAAGCCTTTGTTTGAATTTGACCAATTGAATCGAATTTGAGTTAATATTTGGTATAATTTAACACAATATACAGTACAGAGTGTATAAAAAAAACTGAACCCTTTCAAATTCAAATTAGCTATAACGTATTGTAGTAATTTGACAGCTCTAATTGCTTTAAACTGTTAATGGTTGGATAAGAACACAAGATCTTGTACTCATGGGCATAGACGGATTTTGTGTGTGTGTGTGTGGGGGGCAGGGTGCTACCCCCCCCCCCAATATTAGCTATAACCCCCCTAACAAAATGTCCACCCCTCCAAAAAAATTTTCACACCCCCCCCCAATATTCGGCATAATAAAAAATAATTAAATATTCCACTCCAACGTGCAGAGTGTTGATGATACCAAATAAACATAGGAGTACACTCAAATAGAAAAAGACCAGTGCAACTCTATGAAACTAATTGCTCCTCGCTTGCATTCTCTGGTTTATTGGAGCAATTGTAAAATTTTGAAACTCTATTATCTCCCCTGAATAGAGCTTGCAGTGCCTTGTCATGCAAATAGCTTCAAGTTATGCCTAACCGTAATAAAATTACAGTATTTTTTTGTGATTTTTTTTACCCTCGACATGCATTTTACCCTCGCCCTCGACAATTGACCCTCGACACTCCACCAATGGATAAACTCGTATGAAAACCGCGAGCGGCGGCATCAACTGATCAGCCTATATGTTGATGCATGAGCTTAATTCATATATTGTGGTCTAGTGAAAAGGTTCCAAAAATGGGCACTGAAGTTTCCATACTATTGTCGTTCTGAGTGTCACAGATATTAGACTGTAACGTTAGGATAGATTCTCATTCTCATCAGATAGGGCCACACAGATTATTCAATGCTTTTAATTACACAAGAAGTTAAGTTACAGCGACACACTGTATCTCTATTCGACCACAAACATTGATTCAAACTATCACAAGACCACATGCAGTAAATGCGGTAGCTATGTACTTTTTAAAGCACTACCCGCTATACAAGCAGGAGCGCTTTATCTGATATAAAACACGAGAGCGTAGTTTCAGTGTTTTATCTGACAAAGCACGGACTTTTAAATGGCTTCAACATAAAAGCCCGGTTCACATATACCTGCAGCGGTATGTCGGCGGGCTATTGTCGTTATAGCATTTAAACCAAATAATTCACAAAATAATGTATGCATCAACAGCTAGTTGTAAACAATGATAGCGCAGGCATGCGCAGACATATGTGAACCATATAAAGTATCTGAAAGTGCTTAGCTGATATTTTACTTCGCTTGAATATAAGTCTTCGCCAAATTGCCTTACCTTTGATTTTACTGATGCGAAGTCGTTTAAGAACTGAATACCTAACAACATGGAGTAAAACTTGCACTCAACTGTCAGTGACGTCAAATTAAAGCCACATGCATTACTTCGAAAACTAGAGTTAAGCCGATTTTCCACTTGCCAATTTTTTCGCGCGAAGCGAATTTTTCTTTGGTCTCTCAACTGGAACCATCTGGAACTAATTAGATAAAGACAAAAGAAAAATTCGCTTCGCGCGAAAAAATTCGCATGCGGAAAACCGACTTTAACCTTAAAATCTAAGGTCCCAGAAATCGCCAAATCCTGCATTCTGGAAGTTTTTTGACAGTTTATATATCTATGTATATTTTACTTAATTCTTTATTTCGCCCCCCCCCCCCCGCCTTAAACTAAAGCCCCAGGAAAAATTAGACAGCTTACGACTGACAAACCTCTAGAGGAGTTCCAAGGGCATGCACCCACAGAAAATTTTGTAATCTAGGCTCTCTAATAGTGAATTTTAGCGGAGACATTCTATAGAATTAGATTGCACACTAATTACAAAAAGATAAGTATCATTCACTTTATCATCCAGGCTCATCATGGGACCTTTGGTGCGAGACTTTGTTGGACATCTGATGGGTTGTCTGGAAAACGCGTGCACGTACACGCGTACACGTACACGCGTACATGGAAAACGCGTACATGGAAAACGCGTACATGGAAAACGCGTACATGGAAATCGCGTACATGGAAAACGCGTACATGGAAATCGCGTACATGGAAATCGCGTACATGGAAAACGCGTACATGGAAAACGCGTACATGGAAAACGCGTACATGGAAAACGCGTACATGGAAAACGCGTACATGGAAAACGCGTGCATGGAAAACGCGTACATGGAAAACGCGTACAATGTTCATTTGTAACGTTAATTAATTAAAACTTGGCGATTTTATTGAAAGTTCTCTTGCAGACCTAGTGATTGTGTCAATGATGGTCAGATCATGGCCTCCGTGAAGGACAACTTCACAGTGGACTACGTAATGTTTAGTACTTTCATTGTGTTCCAACATGCGTCCAGAAAAAGCAGCCGTATTTCCAACCACCTCACGCTATTATCCCATGCACGTAAGATAATGTCGATAATATCACTTCTCCGCGATGAACATTGGAGATATATTAATCACACATTCGGAAGCCTCGCAATCCAATAAAGAAACATTTAAAACTATGCACTGACGCTTGCAGACTGATTATCTATTATTTTAAATTGTTAAGGTTTTCTTTAGCATATAGTTTATTTATCATTTATAGACCCGAAGCGAGAGGGATTCGGCGAAATATTACCCGAAGTGATGATATTTATTTAATATTTGAAATATCATCACTGAGGGTAATGTTTCGGCGAATCCCCCAAGGGTCTATAAATGATATATTATACCGAAGGTAAAAGACAGCACTATAATAAGTTCAGAATAAACTTTAAAACTTGCTGAATATTAACTATAAAGCGATAAAAAATTTTAATTTCTTATGTATACCTGTGTTTTGACGTTTTCTCTTTAAAATATTTGAGCATGTATATTCTTTGGATTATTGAAGGTAACGTACGTCTTAAAAATTTTTGGTTACAGTAAATCAATAAATCTGCATGTACGCGCCTGTACGAAATTACAAACAACAGCTCGCGAATGCCATGTTCTTTAAGAGTGTGCATGGTATCCTTACTATAATATCCACCACAGTGGATCTCACGCTGCATTGCGAAATCATGAATTTGAGTGAAATACCGTAAAAAAAACACATTGTCACGTAGTACAAATGCTATTCTTTTATAGGACATTTTATAGGACAGAATTTGATTTATAATATATTTTATATATAGACACTTAAGCTCTCTGGCTCTGTTGTGTTAGGAGCCATTCACAAAGGATGTCCGGCCAAATGATGGATTTTCAGACCCCCCCCCTCTCCGCCCCTTGTCCGGCATTGTCCGAATTAGTGACCCCCCCCGGACATCCACCATGCCTCGCTAAAACTCACGCAACCTTGTATATGTCAAGTTTACTTTTAGAACTTTTTTATAACTATAAATGTATTGAAGGAAAGAATTAGATAATATTATAAAATGTTCAAAATGCCAAGAGTTCAAAATAGAGGAAAAAGAAATTTGTTTTTGAATTTTTTTAAATTTCGGACATCCGGATTGCTGAACCCCCCCCCCATGTCCGAGTTTGTCCTGATTTTCCAAATCCCCCTCCCTCCCCCTCGGCTCGACATTCTTTGTGAATGGCCCCTTAGTTTGATCTAATCATGTTATATCACCATGTCGTGCTACGGCATGTAAAGTTAGCCTAGTTTATGTCTTAGACCTAATTTAATAAGGGTTTGGGGTTGCGTTGCGTTATGTTATTTAAAATTACATTAGGTCGCCCTACATCGTCCACAGTTATAACTGTCCACAGTTGCTAATGGTGAGCAGGACAACAGATGCTATATGTACTTGTCGGGGCAATTTTTGCAAGTAAACATGTAAATAGCGTTATGTTTTTCGGTTACATTTGTTTTGTCTTTATGATTATAGTAAACTTGGATCTCAGTTTGCATGTTGGTTAGATCCAAGTTTAATTACTAATCATAAAGACAAAACAAATGTAACCGAAAAACATAACGCCATTTACATGTTTACTTGCAAAAAATTCAAAAATTGCCCCGACAAGTACATATAGCATCAGAGATAGCATCTACAGTGTCTGCTCACCATAAGCAACTGTGGACAGTTTATATAACTGTGCATGGACGATGTAGGGCGACCTAATGTAATTTTATATAGCATAACATATTAACATAACATGACATGAGATGACATGACATGACCGGCCCAAACCCTTACTAAATTAGGCGTAAGTATAAACTAGGCTAACTTTACATGCCGTAGCACGACATGGTGACATAACATGATGAGATCAAACTAACACAACAGAGCCAGAGAGCCTAACTGTCTATATATAAAATATACTAGGAGTTACTATCGCAAAGAAATTGCTGCCTCGCCCCTAAGGGATCAAAGCCAGGCAGCATGCAGGATTCGCTGAATAAGGGGGTGAACACATTTATATGATCCTACTTTGCCAGGACAAGTTGTGAGGCAGGATTATTTTTGATGTATTGAAATAAATTATGGTGCACGATTCAGCAAAAAACTACATAGTTAACTGTAAACTAAAAGCAATAAAATATATTATACCTCAAATTCAAATTGTCCTATAAAAGAACAGCATTCGTAACACGTGACAATGTGTTTTTTTACGGTATTTCACTCAAATTCATGATTTCGCAATGCAGCGTGAGATCCACTGTGGTGGATATTATAGTATCTCACGCTCACACACGACGAAATTAAAGGATACCACGCACGCTCTTAAAGAACATGGCATTCGCGAGCTGTTGTTTGTAATTTCGTACAGGCGCGTACATGCAGATTTATTGATTTACTGTAACCAAAATTTTTAAGACGTATGTTACCTTCAATAATCCAAAGAATACATGCTCAAATATTTTAAAGAGAAAACGTCAAAACACAGGTATACATAAGAAATTAAAAATTTTTATCGCTTTATAGTTAATATTCAGCAAGTTTTAAAGTTTATTCTGAACTTATTATAGTGCTGTCTTTTACCTTCGGTATAATATATCATTTATAGACCCTTGGGGGATTCGCCGAAACATTACCCTCAGTGATGACATTTCAAATATTAAATAAATGTCATCACTTCGGGTAATATTTCGCCGAATCCCTCTCGCTTCGGGTCTATAAATGATAAATAAACTATATGCTAAAGAAAACCTTAACAATTTAAAATAATAGATAATCAGTCTGTAAGCGTCAGTGCATAGTTTTAAATATTTCTTTATTGGATTGCGAGGCTTCCGAATGTGTGATTAATATATCTCCAATGTTCATCGCGGAGAATTGACATTATTGACATTATCTTACGTGCATGGGATAATAGCGTGAGGTGGTTGGAAATACGTACGGCTGCTTTTTCTGGACGCATGTTGGAACACAATGAAAGTACTAAACATTACGTAGTCCACTGTGAAGTTGTCCTTCACGGAGGCCATGATCTGACCATCATTGACACAATCACTAGGTCTGCAAGAGAACTTCCAATAAAATCGCCAAGTTTTAATTAATTAACGTTACAAATAAACATTGTACGCGTTTTCCATGTACGCGTTTTCCATGTACGCGTTTTCCATGTACGCGTTTTCCATGTACGCGTTTTCCATGTACGCGTTTTCCATGTACGCGTTTTCCATGTACGCGTGTACGTGTACGCGTGTACGTGCACGCGTTTTCCAGACAACCCATCTGATGAACCTGAAGTATATTATTAGTGCACGTTCGATAATTTGGCAGCTATCATTTCAATTTCATTCCGATTATTCTCATTCAAAATGTTTTGATTAATACTGTCAAGGCAGACTCGTCCCCAGTCGCTTTAAGAGCGGGCGCGCGGCCAGAAGTGGGCGCGTAGAGGCTCACGGCAAGGGCGAAAGAAGAAAATTTAGCGACTGGCAGATTACTGTGATTTTTCTTGCAAGAAATTGTTTTTCTTGCAAACTAATGTTTTATGCTTCAATTTTGGATTTTTTGACATTGGTATACATAAATCGATCATTTTATGATGTAGTCTCTGCAAAGTGCGTGTTTTTATCAAGTATATCGGCCTTCAATTGGTCAAGTCTGGAGTACTTCAAAATGGCGGACTCTGATGAGCTTAGATCAGACATTCCAACCTCCGAGTCCTCAAAACCGGGACACTTCCCAATTTTCCCATTTTACTTAATTAAACAAACTCCTCCCTGGAATAAACGCCTCCCTGGAATAAATTAAACGCCTCCCTGGAATAAACGCCTCCATCAATAACTGCCACACTTTTCTCATTGATGTGGTGTCTATTTGGGTTAGTGTTAAAATTGGCTGAGTTGAGTTTGAATTAAACAATAAATTCACCCACTGTGAATTGAAATGTTACAAAAACTAGTTTTATTACACTAACGTTGAAACCCATAAGTAATATAACATCTTCTCAACAAGCCTTAATTTAATTGAAGTCCTGTACTGACTGTTTCGTTTTACTAGTGGTCTTTTGAACTGTGATCCTCTCCTATTCAAGAGCCCACGATTATTGTGCCCGCTTCTGTTATGCTGCTTTACTTCACGTAGCCATGGCAAAATGAATAGGAATTGAACACTAAATTGTCAAAACAACGTATGTCACGAGAATTACAACAATCGGCGACAAACTGGGCAATTGTTTGGGACAACTAGAAACTCCCATTTCATTAATATGTATTGAACCAATGAAACAAATTTCATTAATATTTGTCACATGAGCCTTATTTGAAGAATACAACTATTAAAATACTATTGAAACCGGGACAATAAGAAGAAAATCGGGACACCGGGACAACATAGTCCAAACCGGGACAGTCCCGGGTAAACCGGGACGGTTGGAATGATTGTTAGATGGTGAGTCTAAAAGATAATATAATACATTCTACCACTTGAATGTCTTGAATTTGTTGACCCTTTGAGCCGTAGCATAAATTTGCGTATACTAAAGAAATTAAGAAACTGGAATTCATTGTACGCTCGGCTGATTAGCGCCATGATTAGCGCCATGTTGCCTTGTTTCAAGTTGTAATTTTTGTCGTTCTGAACTATAGACTTCAATTCCATAAATTCAGATGAATGTCCTAAGACCAGCACTCCTAGAACTCCTAAAGCGAGAAAGTTACTGCCATTTGACGTCAAACACGACCTAACACCAGATTCTAAGAGTCCGGGATTACCAAGAAGGCAAGAACTAAATGCAGGAAAGTTGTTCAAGGCTGGAACTTGTATTTTTAATAAGTCACTTGTTTGAATGTGCAGGTGATGCTGGCACATTTGTTCCTGGAGATCTTCAGGGCTCTTTAAAGACTATATGCATCAAAACAGATGGGTTGAGACTTAAACAAGAGGATGTTGTTACTGATGATCTTAGTGTAAAAAGCCACCTTTCAAGAGCTTTGGCAGCCATATTTCCTAACTGTGAAAAGAAAAGGGTGTTGTGCGAACATAAACAAATATATTCTTTTTACATGTGTAAAGGCTGATGTGCATATGTAATACATGATCAATCCAATTCATAACATTGTATTACAAATGACATAATATTTTTATATTTGTCTGGTATATTGTGTTTTGGTTAATCTTCCTCAGGATGCTACGTCACAGAATAAGATACACAGAAGGCGGACTTCTCGGGTTTTCCTATGATTTAGGCGTAACCTGTAATTCGTCATCAAAGGCGTAAAAAAAAATACTTGTGGTTCCGGTTCCCGACCGACCCTATTTTTTTTCTGCCGACCCTATTATTTTTTCAACGCGATGGACTGTGCGACCCTATTTTCTCCAGGTGGTGCGGGCCGCTCATATAGCGTGCCAAAATGGCGTCTGTTGCCACACTAATTATTGAACCAAATTGCGTAAATTCGTCCATAGGAAATACGCATCTCTAGTTAATATTGATGTCGGGATTCTACTGCAAATCGCCCAACAAAAAACCGCCAAAACCATGAAAAAAAATATTTAAAAAAAAAAATTATTTCCGACCTACCGACTCTAACTTTTTCACGATATGAAACCGGAAACACAGGTATTTTTTTTTTACGCCAAATGCTAATGTCATGGTCCTAGCCAGTGCGCGTTTGAGAGGCATTCACCCCCTGATATTATTCAAAATGGCGAACGTCCAGGGGGGAATGCCTCTTAAATGCGTACTGGCTAGAACCATGGCATCAGCATTTTGATGATGATCATGAACATGGTCCAATACCACGATACGATACGAATGGTAAATTTCATAAATCTACCATCGGTATTGTTGTCGATTTGTGTCTATTGTACAGTGCATCCGTACCAGTGGTACGGTTGGTAAGATAGGGTTACGGATCGTGAAAGTAAGTTTACCATCCGTAAACCAACAGCCATGGCAGTTGGGGTACCCTTCCAAATCATGTCGAGTGGTACCAGTGGTACCACTGGTAAGATATGATTATGGATCGTGAAAGTAAGTATACCATCCGTGAACCAAGGGTCATGGCAGTTGGGGTACCCTTGAAAATAATGTCGAATGGTACCAGTGGTACCACTGGTAAGATAGGGTTACGGATCGTGAAAGTAAGTTTACCATCCGTGATCCAAGGGTCATGGCAGTTGGGGTACCTTTGAAAATAATGTCGAATGGTACCAGTGGTACCACTGGTAAGATATGGTTACGGATCGTGAAAGTAAGTTTACCATCCGTAAACCAAGGGCCATGGCAGTTGGGGTACCGTTGAAAATAATGTCGAATGGTACCAGTGGTACCACTGGTAAGATATGGTTACGGATCGTGAAAGTAAGTTTACCATCCGTAAACCAAGGGCCATGGCAGTTGGGGTACCCTTGAAAATCATGTCGAGTGGTACCAGTGGTACGGTTGGTAAGATAAGGTTACGGATCGTGAAAGTAGGTTTACCATCCGTAAACCAAGGGCCATGGCAGTTGGGGTACCCTTGAAAATCATGTCGAGTGGTACCAGTGGTACCACTGGTAAGATATGATTACGGATCGTGAAAGTAAGTATACCATCCGTGAACCAAGGGTCATGGCAGTTGGGGTACCCTTGAAAATAATGTCGAATGGTACCAGTGGTACCACTGGTAAGATAGCGTTACGGATCGTGAAAGTAAGTTTACCATCCGTGATCCAAGGGTCATGGCAGTTGGGGTACCTTTGAAAATAATGTCGAATGGTACCAGTGGTACCACTGGTAAGATAGGGTTACGGATCGTGAAACTAAGATTACCATCCATTATAAATTATGTTCAAATTGTTGCTAAAATCGATATTTTGATGCGTATTAAAAGCTATATATAATAATGCTTGCATAACCTAAAAGGATTAATATTAAAATTTATATAATATATATCATGAGATACTGTTTTTAAAGCTTCTTATACATATGTAGCTATATAATATACTTATATAGCCTAAAGCGATCGACTAATAATATTAAAATTTATATAATATATATCATGAGGTAATGTTTTTAAAGCTTTTCATATATGTATATGCATACGGACACTCACACAGTTTGTAGTTCTGTCATACTATTTTGAGTCTTCGTTTTGCGACATTTACTTGATTACAATTTTGTAGAATGAAATATAGTGGTATGGCGTTACAGTTATAGACTTCCCATTCGCAATGAATTAAGAGGGATACGCACACCAGAAATCCAGAAAAATAGATTTGTTTTAAAATTTAGAATGTTTGTTTGTGCTCGGCCGGTCGACAGCATGGCTGTTCGTCAATAGCATTTTTACTATATGCCATATCTCAATATGTATACTCTCGGAACCAGTCGCTCGCTCGCCATAGTGAAAATTATATGGGTAGGTCACTTCCGCCTCCTCTTGAGATATGTGAATTCAGATTTGATGTAAACAATGAGCAAACACGATTTTTAGGTTTTATATATTATTGGGCTAAAGCATATTTTCTTTCTGGCTTTGTACAAAGATATTTAGCAACTCCAGGCATTCTTTCAAGATTATGAACTTATGTATACAATATTTCACCTTTATGGCGTGTAATAAAGGACGAAACAAACTTCAATTTTCAAGACAGAACAATGGACATACTGTAGTGAAAGATACTTAATTGGATGCAATGGTATTTCAAAGATATTTGGATGGTAAACCAAAAACTATCAAATACTTAATAGTGAGTATAAAATATATATTTAAACAATACTATAATTAATACCATATACTATAGAGTAATCAATAGCACATTAGTTTTCTTTTCGTGTAAAACTACACAATCCACTGCCTCCTCATCTCATTGTTCTCAGAATTGGTTCAGTGCATTTCAGATTTGCTTTAAAACATGAGCATGTTTTTGTTTGACAAGCTTTTTGCATTCACAATTTCACAACTTAACAAATTTTATAAAGATGCTGTGTGCTCTGGAGCAGGCCCCTGAGTCCCCCATGTGGGCCATGTACAGGCGTTGGAAAAAGTATCAGACCTCAGGACCAAAAATTTAGACAAAAGGAGAATTTCAGAGGGGAAATTGTAACCAATAGAAAGAATGTTACCTGTTCTGTAGGAATAAGCTCAAAAATGCAACTATAACATAACTATAACATATAACATATGACATAACAAATGTTGCATGGGATATTCATTTTTAGCCAATCTGGGGCACTTGATTTTTTCAAAATATTCTGGGCATTGTCTCTTTCATAGCTGCTCTTTGTGTTGAGATTTCTTCCCATGAGCAGCTGCTCACTCGAGCACACCATTCTATAAAGATGCTGTCAACTCCAGATGGAGCAGGTCTTTGGGTCTCCCATGTACAGGGGGTGGAAAAAGTGTCAGACCACGGGACCAAAATTTAGACTAAAGGAGAAATGCAGAGGGAAATTTGTAGGAATAAGCTCAAAAATGCGACTATAAGTGCATCCATCTTTATTCATAGTGTGATAGTGCATAAATGTATATATTATAGAGTGACATAACAAATGTTGCATGGGATATTCATTTTTAGCCAATCTGGTGTACTTGATAGATTATTAAAAGGGTACTTGATAGAGATGAATGGTTATCACTGTTTCAATTTTGAAGGAAAACTTTCTTACCAAGTGTAGACCCTGAACAACCAAAAAATGTCAAATTTTTAGTTTCATCTATCATTGAAACTTCAAGGGGAGGTGCATATGACGTTTCAGGAGAGGTGCAAAAATTCTCAGGGGAGGTGCAAAACTATTTCAGGGGAGCTAGGTGCCGACCTCAAAATCCCGCTATGGAAAGCGGATTTACAATGCACAGAATTATGCCAATGTGAAAATATGGAAAGCAGAGAACTTTTGTGATATTGATACACGAGACAAAAGGAATGGAATGTTGTCCTCAAATGAGCAACTCTTCATGGGGAGAATCCTCGACACAAAGAGCAGCTGTAAAGGAGACAATGCTCCCCAAAATATTTTTGAAAACCAAGTGCCCCAGACTGGCTAAAAATGCATTTGCCAGGCAACATTTGTTACATTAATTAACATACAGTTATGATGTGTGATATCCGCCAAAATTCATATATTCAATTATGCATTTGGAAATTGCATTTAAGAAGTTCAGTTATACTATTATGATATTTGATATTATGTTATTCGAATTCATTTGGCATGAAACAGTCATAAATTATTGAAATTTCATTTGTCGTGAAACAATCATTCGGCATGGCACTCAGAAACCAAAATTCGACTTCCGGTTTGGCATGGCACTCAGAAACCAAAACTGGACTTCCGGTTTAGCGGGAAGTTGTAATTCCACCATGACCGAAGTCGAAGACAAAGTAAGGCAACAAGACAGAAATATAAGTGTTGTCCCAGTAAACGTATTCATTTGGAAACAACTGTGTTGAGGAACTTAGACATCGGCAACCAGTATGCCCATACAGCCCAAAAAGATTTCTAAAATTCCCCAACACTCTTTCTGAATTTGATGTATTGACGGCAGTGTCGCCAGGTGATGTAGTAGCATGCGATTCGCTTTGAGAAATTACATTTGGATTTGCAACTTAAAGGGTAATGGCAATAAAAATTTTTATTGCTTTATCTGAACGAGCATGAAAAAATAAGCCGATTGGCCGTTTACTGCTCTATTCTATCTCATCTAGTTCCGAAGTTATACGCAAAAATGTGCAAAATATAAATTGCCAATTCAGCACAACGTGTGACGTCATTGGTAGGGTAAGTATGTTTAATGAATACTAAACTGAAGCATAGCTCAGTTATTATGGGACCAAATCAAATGAAATTTTGGATACTGATTGTACATGATGAGACGCATTGAAAAACACTTCTAATTTTGTTGCCAAGGTAACAATGTCGTTCCCAGGCCTCTTGCGCCAATTTTATAAAACAGCTTTATTCATGTTACTTATAAGAACAAAATAATGTCAGAAGTATGTGTACCATACCTATGCATGCCAAAAGTTTACTTGCATGATAATAATTCGAAAATGACATACACATAGATAAATGCAACTAGTTATTCAAAATCAGTGTAAGGGTCCTGGGAACGACTGCGTTGCCTTGACAACAAAATTAGAAGTATTTTCCCATGCGTCTCATCATGTACTATCTGTATGCAAAATGTCATTTGATTTGAGCCAATAATAACTGAGCTATGCTTCAGTTTACTATTCATTAAACATGCTTACCCTACCAATGACGTCACACGTTGTGCTGAATCAGCAATTTATATTTTGCACATTTTTGCGTATAACTTCGAAACCAGATGAGATAGAATAGAGCAGTAAACGGCCAATCGACTTATTTTTTCATACTCTTTCCGATAAAGCAATAAAATTTGTTATTGCCATTACCCTTTAATTGTGCTGAAGAAACATCATTTGATGATCCAGGATATTCTCTGATCATTCTTGTTGCTTCTTGCAACAAAGAAACAGCACACTCGTCTGTTGACTTAAATTGCATTCGCCTTCGGCCATGTTGAAATTATAATTCTCTGCATGCTTTTCCCGCTACACCGGAAGTCAAATTTTGGTTTCTGAGTGCCATGCCGAATGACTATTTCAGTAATGACTGTTTCACGCCGAATGAAATTTCAATATTAATGACTGTTTCACGCCGAATGAAATTCGAATATCATAATATCGAATATCATAATTATAGCATAACTGAACTTCATAAATGTAATTTCCAATGGCATAATTGAATATATAAATTTTGGCAGATTTCACACCTCATAATTATAGTAACTCTCTAATCTATACATTTATATACTATCACACTATCAGTGAAAATTGATGCATTTCCTAGGTCATTCCTATGGGAATGAGCTAAGAAATGCATCAATTTTCACTGATACAGAACAGGTACTGTAACATCCTTTCTATTGTTTTTTTATACTTTTTCAACCCTTGTACCAGACAGACGACAGCATCTTTATAAAATTTGTTGGCTGCAAATGGAAAAAGGCTTCTCAAACAAAAAGATGCTTTTGTTTTAAAGCAAAAATTTGAAATGCACTGAACCAACGCAGCAATTCTGAGAACAATGAGATATGAATGAAGATAAATTGACAATTTCAATAACTTTCATGACGAGGCAGTGGTTTGTGGTGATTGTGTAGTTTTACACGAAAAGAAAACTATAGTGTGCTTTAAATATTGTTTATTAGTATTTGATAGTTTTTGGTTTACCATCTAAAAATCTATTTTTGTTACTATAAACTTGAAGTTTCTTTAATTTGTTGTTCATTACACGCCATATTAAAAGATGAAATTGTCTACACTTTAAAAGTTCATAATCTTGAAAGAATGCCTGGTGGCTGGTGTTGCTAGGTATCTACAAAGCCAGAAAATACGTTCGGTCGCAATTACATCAAATCTGAATTCACATATCTCAAGATTAGGCGGAAGTGACCGATCCTGTATAATTTTCACTATGGCGCGCGAGTGAATGCTTCCGAAAGTACGCATTTTGAGGTGTGGCATATATAGTAAAAATGTTATTGCGAAAGTCGTAAATTTTAACATTTTTATCGCAATTTACAAAAAGACTGCAGGGTTTATCGACAAGAACTTTTTAGAATTAGATTCAGCGTTTTAAATCTTAAAAATATATAAGTATTTTTGGCTTAGCGAGGTATACAGTGAAACTAAACGTTTGAGGGCACTAGCTCACGGCTTATGACTGCAGGAGAACGTTTCGCAGCCGGTGAAAAGCATGCAATGACTGGTATATGATAGTTAAGCAATTTGCTGTCAGTTGATGGTAACAGTATGTTAGATAGGAAGTGAATGACGTCAGTAGCGTATAGCCAGGGTTTACAACTGTAATAGCCTACAACTGACGTAATACAAACAAGACGCATGAAAAGTTTGTGATGTATAATAAGATGTGTTATGTCGCCTGCAGTTTGCAAAGTATGCAAACAAACGCATGTGTAACTAGAGGGCACTCAGAGACGCGCAAAATATTGAAGTAATCTATTGTTATTAGAATTTGAATGGCTGGTGCATATATTATGCACGTCCTAATTACGCATTCAGTATAAAGTTTGATTTAATTGACCGCGGGAAAAGCAAGACAAACGTTTGTTATTTCTCATTCAATTTTTAACCAAATTGAACCAAATTTTAATCAGTTCTTCCTTAGCCGATGGGAAATGCACTCACAAAATTTCGTACGGACATGTTTGGTATTTCTTGAGTTATCGTGCTCGCAGACAAACACACACACGCACATACACACACACACACACATACAAACCCAGATGATTACATAACCTCCTGGCGGAGGTAAATATACACAGAATTTTTGTTCCTTAAAAATACTGCAGTATAGCTTAAAAATACTGCATGTTGTTGTATGTATAGTAGTGACGAATTTTACGAATGCATAGAAACTTGTAAAAGAGGTGCATGTCATTCGCCAATGAGCGGCAAGTGCGCGCCTAAACCTTCCTGTTAGATCGATTATCGTATTGGATCTATCAGTCATGAGTGTGCGTTAGCATTCCTGATGAGGATAGACATGTTTCTAGGAGTTCCATGTTAGATAAAATAACAAAATTTGAGGGTCTATAGCATTGCCCACTTACAGTTACAGAGTAGAATTTATACTTTATAGCTCAATATGTTTGTATCGTATCCAATAAACATAGTCATTCTGATTGGCGACATTCATGACAGGGCTATAACACTTCCAAACAATTCATTTATACGAAACGGAAATTTTACTTCCTATGCACCAGGCAATTTTTGCGGGAAACCCATAATTTCCAAAGTGGAAAGCCATAGCTGGCGTAAGTGATCAAACGGCATTTTGTCGATACGCGTTATACGCGGTGCTTTCGCTATTATACGCAGTGGTTCGAGCATTATACGTGGTGCTTTCGCCATTATACACACGGTGTGTTTGCCATTATACTGTACGAAGTGGTTCGAGCATTATACGGGGTGCTTTTAACATAATTTCCATATTTTTTCCATGCATATAATCTCACGATTGCTTAAACTTGGCATGGGGCTGTGCTTTTTGCCTCTGGTCTGCAATGACAATGACATGCTTTTAAAGGTTTATTTTATAAAAAGGTGTCTGCACTTTGTGAATTGTATTTATCATATAGTGTTGATTTATTAGAAATAAATCTGTGTATATAACATAGGTATATAAATTAATATAACGCAGCGAATGCGCGCCAAGCAGTATAAACGCGGCATAATACGATATTAAAATCTTAAATGTGCCGTATCGTTTAATTATGTTTTAGGATTTAATGCCTTAATTAACAATGCTTTGTATTTGTATTTGTACTTGTACTGCATCACATCGGGCGGGGGGATAAATATGGGGGGGGGGGGGGCTGCTGCTTGCTTTGACCGGGGCCTGGTGGCAACGTCCAGAAAGGTCAAGGAAAATGTTTAACAAAACTTTTTTTCTAGGCTTGCATGGCGGCATCTGAGACCATAATATTAGTAATTTTATAAATTTAGTAATAAGAATAACCAAATAGGAAAATATCAAATCAAAATATGTATAATTTGAGGGGTGCAAAAACTTTTTAGGGGCGGTGCCAAATGCCTCTGGGGGGGAGGGGTGCAAAGTATTTCTGGGGGCACTTCCCCCCCCCCGAAAAAAATCCGTGCCTGCTGCATCACGAGGCTGTGCGTAAGTAAACAGATTCCACATGTGAGGTTGTCTTGTATATATTTTTGTCTTCTTTGATAAACTGGTTACTATGTAATGTCGGACTTAAATTTTAATATAGTTACATTTTGCATTGTGCATTTTCATTCACTGATGAAGTATATTATGCATATATTTGCACCAACTGAGTGTGTTTTAAATACTGATCATGCATGGTGCGTATATGTATCATATTTAGTGGGGCAGAGTTTTGTGTGTTTTAAATATCAATTCGTATGTATATAAACCGTGATTCTTAAAAGCGAAGCAAACTCATATCATATTTAAATGCACGGACTCATGGTGTTTTAAATATCAGTGCGTATACCGGGTGTCCCAAAAAAAACTATACCCTCTTTGATTTCATGTAACGTAAAAGCTATAAAAGCTATTTCACTAAAATAAAAACCATTGTATTCACAAATAATAAACTTATAGATTTTGATATATAACATTTGATTTTCCGTGCGGTATTGACAGAAATACAAGTGTTTGAAGTTGCGAGGAGTTTTTGAAATTGGCGAAGAAACAACAAAAATCGCCGCATCACTGAAACTAAATTGAAAGCAGTTTTCACTTTACATGGAATCTTTTTAACTTCAGTGATTTTATCTTTAATTTTGGATCATTCCCTTGCAAATTTACTTTAAAAATTACACTTAAAGATTGATTCTTAGGTATAAAACAAAGTAATAATTCACATTAAACGAAAGTTCCATATGACGTCTCTTGGGAATCAAATTGGCAATGAAATAAACATTGCATGTCGATTAGCCTATGATTAGCCTTAAGTTAACAAAAGACAACAACGAGTTTGGATTTGTATCGACACGCTTTTCCTGATGAGTAAACTCATATTAGTCCATTCTTTTG